TCTCCAGAACTAGAGCATAAGTGATTTCCTGTCTCGCGTTCTTGTAAGACAACTCCACTAATGGCAAGACCAACCCGTACAAAGCAGAAGCAGCTAGTGTCATCACAAACCCCCAAAATATACTCCGTGTTTGATTCATTCGTTGGCCTGTCATTGCTTGTATGGGAGGCCAAAACACCTGCTCCAATGGTCAGTAACACCACTGCATTTATTGTATATGACGTGAACTTTTGCCTTACCAAGAGAAAAGCAAAGCCTGCTGTGAATGCTAACTGGGTGGTGATGATCAGTGAAGAAGTAGAAACAGGAAGATGCTTCAAACCGTAGGCGTAAAAGTAGTCATCAAACCCTGTGAGAATTCCTATGATTGCAAAAGCCAAGAACACAGGAGGTTTCATAAAGAAAAACTTGTTTCTGTGTGTTGGGTTTGACTGTTGCCCACCGTGCTGATAAAAGTAGGCGACTGTGAGAGGGAGGAAGATGATGGGCCAACCAGCTGTTTCGAGCCAACTTGAGAACCATATTCGTTTGCCACCATGAATGAAGTAGAGGCGTGTGATAAGGGGGCCACCAGAATTGCCGATGATGAGGATGATGCAGTTTAAAACTAGAAGAACCCTTTTCATAATGGTCCTTGACTTAGGTTCTATCTCCATTTATTTAGCACAAGCCAGCTTGTTTAAAATTCTGCCTACTGTCTTTGTTGCTTGCTGGAAACTATTAGGGTATGCCATATATATATTCTAGGACGTAGGAGCTCTTGGTGATAAACTAGCTGTAAGAAGACAAATGAGTTTAACTATTCACTTGATATGATTAGTTTATCTTAAAATTTATTAAAAAAATATATAACAAAAAGTTGAGATGAATAAATCGCACATATGTAATATTCTAAGTTTGTTTATGTTGATTTGTATAGTTTAAATGGAACGTGGAAGAGCCAATTAGGCTTGTGGTTTTTCTTTTTTATTTATACAGATAGAAATTATAAAATATTATGGGAAATTATTAGATAATTCAAGATGTAAAGGAGAACAAATTTGAATACCCAGCAGTGGATACTTTGTAATTTATTAGTTGGATGACAATTAATCATGACCAAATTTTTTTACCGCCTCTTTAACCCTATGGTTCTGTGATTTTTTTTTAAATTTTTTTTTTTTTAATGAAAGAAGATATTATTAAAATGAGAAGGAAAAGTACAGCCAAGAACGAAGGGGAAATCCACGCCAAAGATTTACTTTTATTACTAATGATGTTTTTAAATGGAAACTTCGTTGATAATTATTAAGATTATGTCTAGAAATAATTCGAAATTATTATGATTGAAATGTCACTTTATCATTCCTTCATTCAGTGTTTGTTTTTAACAGTATCAGAATCAGGAATTTACTTTTATTTCTTTCTGAAATGGACATTTTAGTTCCCTGAAATTGGTGGGAGAATTGAAACTCAACCTTCATCAGGACAGGCAGTTCAATAGTTTTGAAGATTCATCTGGTAATTATAGATTTTAGAAGTAAAAGATTTTGATCTCAAAGACCTCAATCACACGTTCAAACAATTCAATATCCCAAAATAACTTATATTTACTATTACAATTTTTTTTTTTTTTTGAACTGCATCTTTTTCGCTTCAACTTGCTTTGTACTCATCTTAACAGGGAAAAAGCTTATGACAGGGTCAGCTTTGCAAGCAACTCAAGGGTCAGGAGGCATATGGTGTGGCTGTTTTACGCTCTGGCTCAGAGTCAAATATTGGTATGATTTAAATGCTCTTTAGGTTCTTTCTTTATTGATTCTTCATATTTTCACTTGAAACCTACCAAATCAACAACTAATCTAAAAGTAGGTTCTTTGGTTGTGTGATTCTGCTTCATCTTTCTTGTGTTTTGGAATATTGTGATTTTACTCATTCTCATCTGGAGATTTTCATTATCAATTTGCATAAAAAGTTCAAAATGTAAAAATGTGATAACGGTGACGGGAACAAATTTTGTTAAAAAAAAAAAAAAA